TGTGTGTGTGATTCATAGGTCAGAGATGTTGTCTGCAGGCGTGGAAAGGATCATTGAACAGGTCATTGAACCCAAGATGCAGCATGTATTCAGACCTCAAATTGAGAAGGTAACAGTGTCTTTGTCATCACGATTGGTAGTTAACTTCTCTGAGGAGGCTTCATGTATGTATGTACTCTCTCAGCTTAACTGTTGCGATTTGCTGTGAGCGTGGTATAGTATCATTCGCAATCTTCTTGAAACAGATTTGGCTGGATATTAATAGATGTTTACTACGTTTGGTACCAATTCACAGGTTGTGGATGAATTCCTTGGTCCCAAGGGAAGCAAGGAAGCAGAAAATCTCAAGAAGGACTTGGCTACCACCTCGGGGATGTCCCACCCGGTCCCAGCCCCTGCACCCCCAGATCTTCCCCCAGAAGTGCCCACCCCTGCCCCACCACTGCCCCCTTCGGAGCCCCCAGCTGCGCCCCCCCAGGCACCACCAGAGGCACCCCCTGACGAGCCCCCCGACGATCCGGTAGCTTGTTTTGCCAGTCATCCAGACCATGCAAAGCCTGTCCAGTCGGGGACCTCGCCAACTGTCTCCTCTGGTGGTAATACACCTTCTTTCACGTCAAGCAAAATGCCCGGCTTGGTGAAAAAGCATTCTGGAGGGGTGTTGGCAACGACCTCTGATGTCAAAGGGGAGAAGAAACCAGTCCTTGAGCTGCCAGGCGAGGTCAAATCAGCGATACCTGCCAAGGGTCCCAGTGTAAAAACTGAACCAATGAAAAGTCAGCCAGGGAAGCCCCAGCCGGTCAAAGACCAAGATGCGAGGAAAGTAGCCACCAAAGACCAGCCTGCCAAGACGCAGCCCTCCAAAGTGATCAAGAAAGTTCCATCCGGATCTAAACTTGTCGATGCTATCAAACCAACTGACAAGCCCAGGATTGTGATATCTAGTAACAAGCCCCCTGCTCTAAAAATCAAAATTCCAGAAGAGTTTAAGAAAGTTGAGGATAGGCCGACCCTCCAAGCAACAGTCAAGGAGCCAGGTCAAGATTCAGAAACGAAGCCACAACCCTTAGATGTGGAGAAGGTTCCAATCTGCGACCAGTTGTTGCTCAGGAAAGCTGCTTCTGAGGTCACCACACTTGAGCCTGACACAGATTCTGACGTCGTGATGGACGTCGAACCCTCACAACCACAGCCGAGGGGCATTCAAGGTGAACAAGACGAACGACGCAGCGTGAGCCCCCCGTCTGGACAGGATGCACCAGCACCCCCTGCCGTGAGCATGGACACAGACCAGGCTGAACCAGGCATGGGCCTGGTGATTGCTGAGAGTGCTACAGTGGCAAGGGGGAGGAATCTGACGGAGAGAGCGGCCTGTCCGACATATCGGTCAGCTCTGTCCACACCAGCGACCTGTCGTCGTTTGATGAGGATTTCAGCTCCTCGTCCTCCAGTTCCAGCTCCGATTCAAGCAGTGAGGAGGAGACTACCAAACCCAAACAGATTTCTCTAAAGAGTAAGTTTGCTTTTGCCTTTATAAAAGGTCAGTTTGTACATGTGGTAAATTTGACAGCCCAGTTTGATTATTTAGAGCGGCACTTCACTTGTTGGCACCAGGAAGAAAACGTAACAGCCTTGCTGTTCTTATTAAGCCAGAGTTGGGTTTGGAAAATTTTGGCCACTTGAGGGTTAGAAGTAGAGCATGTCACAATCAGAAAGGCATTTTAGTAGAATTTTGTTTGGGTCTGCAAGTTCCGAACTCTTTGTTTGCAGAAAAGCCATTTGCCCACATGTACCCTTCCGACAGTGACTCGGAAGCCCCTTCCGAGGTCACCATCAGCACAGACACCAGCAGGCCGGCTTCTGTCGCCTCGGACAAGCTGTCTGCCCGGAGGTCCCCCAAGACCCAGACTCCCTCCGCCCGGGCCCTGGCGATCAGTCGTTACCACAGTGACAGCGAGGATGAGGACTCCCGACAAGAGAGGCGAAAGAAAGCGGTGAGTTGCAGTCCACCATGTGGTCTGGGAACCCTTAGCATAGTTGAATAACGTTGCAGATAGTCCCGGCAGCATCAGCAGCTAAGGTGCCCGGAGCTGGAGCGGGTGCACCTGCCTAACACTTCTGCTGTTGTTGACGCACCCACCACGCTGCTAGCATCACAACTACCATTATCCTTATCACTCATTTGCTTCTGTCTCCTATTACTACAACCAGGGATGCCAGTTTTCAGGCCTACGCTAAGTTTGCAGGCTGTTTCATGTAGATGGACCGATTTCAGGCCTGGACAAGGCACAGTTAGGCTTCTTAGGCCTCAGTTACTATCCAACATCTGTCCTCTCTGTGATACAATCTCTTTCAATCCACCACCTTATCAGGCTGTTCGAAACAACCAGTGTTTTTGATCATGTCTTTGTTTCTCTCCGCAAGGCTCTGGCCAAGGAGGAGAGAGCCCGCCGGCGACAGATGGCCAAGGAAGAGAGAGAGAAGGTCCTCGCTGAGAAGCTGGAGAAAAGGGCCTTGGACCCCGAAACTGCTGACGGTAAGTTGTTACCAAAAATACTCCTCGCCTGACGTTTTGTCACATCTGGGCCCAAGTTCTTGGCTCCAGTAATCATGGAACTCTTCACTTTCGTTCACTGACACATATGGGGCACAAACCTTTTTGCTCTGAAAGCCAAAAAGATCTCTTGCTGACCTACAAAATGTTAACTTTTTAAGCTAAATTTTCAGCTGTAGTAGGAGATTCACACGTTACTTTGATACTTGACTTTCATCTTTCTGTTAGGAAGCATTTCATAATTTGGAACGGTCAGAATGTTCCCATTGGAACGCCATGTTCTCATTCCGGAACGGTCGGCCATTCCATGAAGAACAGTCGCGTTCCAAATGGAGCCCTGTCTTCCTTTGTGGAATGGTCCGACAGGAACATGCGTTCCCATCGGAACATCCTCATTTGGGTAGCTTCATATCGCCCATGTACAAATCTTTGCCCAATGTGCAAAAACGGAGCCCGCCATGACAAACGAGCGTAGGTAAATCACTTTGCTTTTATGATGGGCCTAATTTGAGTAAGAATTGGCAGTAAACTGAAGATGGAAATGTGCTGTGGCAAGATTTGTTAAGCTGATGATGGCAATTTTATTTTTGACTGAGATACAAACAAGAAAAACACTACTACTATGTCAAGTGTGTGTATCACTGGGCTATAGGCTACAATACCAACGTCGAGCTTAATTGCCTTAGTCATGTCGTTCAATCTTGTTAGTGGTTTTGAAAGACCTCACCCCGCACCACTTCATTTACAGGTTGGGTTTCCAAATTTTTTCTGATATGATGGAATACTTATGAGTAGAAACATTACAATGATAAAGCCCTGTGCCATTCAGGCCCGCAGATGAATAGAACACTCGCGAGTACAGACGTTAAGATTAACACAATAAAATTACCAATGTCCAGAAATACTCTGAATTCATTGCATGGTAGGCTATATGTCATGGTGAACGTGGAAGAGAAAAACGGCAGAAAATTTAACCTTCATGAGGAGTAAATCATAAAATGCTGCACCCCAGCTGCTGTGCCTCAGACACGGTCCAGAAAATGAATTCCAGAAATCTTTCTTCCTTCTTACGAATGTAACAGCAGGACTGTTCCTCTGGGAATACCCATTACCAACGGAACACTGCCTGGAATGGTCCATGCACAAAGCGGAAGCCGATGGAATGCCAGCATTCCAGTGGGAACAGTCCAACGGAAAGGGAACCTTCCCGATTTTTGAGACGCTCCCATAAACTCTTTCACAGACTTCCATGTTTTAATTTCTTCTTTTGTCCTCTCGTACAAATTGGACGAGCAGACTCGGGCGAGGCCAAAAAGGCAGCCAGGAGGGAGGACCTGGCGACAGCGTCTCCGCTCAAAACCACCAAGGAGCAGTTGAAGGAGCAGAAGATGCTGGAGAAAAAGCGGGAGGTGCGACGGAGGAGGTCACTGAACAAGCGCTACTTCTCGGATGAGTTCTCATCCTCCATGCAAGGGGTGAAAGTAAGTCACTCTGACAAACCTGAGGTGGAATTATCCCGGGAACGCTTTGCGCCAACATGGTGCGTGCGTTGCTTCTCAGTGAATTTGAAATAGACAGGCTTATTGTCATGTTGTCCTCTCATTGGTTGGAAAGAGCCATGCTGGTCGGGAGTGTTCATGTTGTTAGAGCAGGGATGCAACCATGACGCGAGCATTTCCTAGTCGTTCGTGGACCAGTGGAGTTCATTTCTGACCAAATTGCACCCTCTTGGTACAGCTCGAGGCTCCTCCAGATTTCAGCAAACCAAAACTGACTTGAAATTGTGTGACTAAGGCACATAATGCAATGTGGGGAAAGCCCTTCACTGAAATGCATTTGACCACGCATGGTATAAAGCTAGGAGTGAAAACACGTTGGTTACTGATATTAATTCTCTACTCAACCAAACAAGTCTTACGCTTCCCTCTTTTTGAAGACAAAGTTTGGCATTTGTCAAAATATTTTGTGCAAAACTCAATTCCTGCTGTGTGTAGATTGGAAGTCTGGTTCACTGTTCCGTGATGCATGTAGCAGACTTGGATATTTACAGTGCCATGCGTGTTGGAATTTAAATTCGTCATTTATTTTCTGTAAAATACATGAATGCAGCCTGTCACGTAATCCATTTATACGGTGTTTTTGTGACCCGTTCTGGAAGACAGTGACACAAATCACCATTTCTGTATCATTAGAGGGCAATAGTGTTTTCAAATGTACATTTCACTATCATCAGTTATGTCTTAAACTCTTAACCATTTATATCAAACTCCTATGGTACTTGTGTACGCCCAGAAAGTTTAGTTTAGATAAATATTGACGACCTTGGAAATTTTTCCTGCATACTGTAATTAGATGGTGACGTTACAAATTACCCAATTGTTCCACATGCCCGAATGAGAACTGCTTCAGTGGCCCCATCCATAGCAGTTGCGCATTGACGCCATGTACTTTTGTAACCATATTTTAAGATTCATGTTTTGTTCGTTTTGTGATTCATGTCACTTCTTTCCAGAGCAGATCACAATTTGATACCGTCTTCCAACTCACACCAACTATGCATTTAGGTAAAAGCGGTCGACTATTTGCTTTGTTCCCAAACCAAAGTGGTGTGAAGGGTTTTTGGTGGTAAAACTGAGGGCTTTTTCCTCATTCGTCTGGTGGCGGATTCAAAGCGATCAATGTGTAGATTTTGCACGATTTCCATGTGACAGCGTTTAAAATCTTCATCGGCCTTCAGAGGCATTTGCATGTTGGGGTATTCAAAGCCTTTGTCAGGCTTCAGAGCCAGTGAGATTTGTAACATCAGACAGATTCATTCGGCATACTTATTTTGTGTTTTGGTAACAGTGCAACACTCAAATCAACAGGAGCACCTTGAGTAACAGCTTTACGCTTTAAAAGCCAGGGGCCAATTTCATAGAGCTGCTTAAGCACAGACTTTGCTTAAGCACAAAAAAACCTTGCTTAATTAACAAAGGTTACCAGCTTAAACTCCATGTGATTGTCATGCTAACCAAAAGACAGGTAAATACCATTCCAAAACAATTTACATCACAAGAAGTTTTGGCTGGTAACCTGATTTGTCAAGCAAGGTTTTTTCACACTTAAACAAATTTTTCACTTCAGCAGCGCTATGAAATCTTGATACTATCTTAAAAGCTTGGTGAAGTAGCAGATATTTCATCACAGGTTTTTTTTCTGGATAATACTTGACTTGTAAGTAAAAAGTCTACAAAGCTGAAAGCATTTTCTAGAGACCGTAGGTTTGTACTTTGATGGTACTCGCATGCTTGAATCACCCAGCTGCCATATTCCATTTCTCGTCTAATTCATCAAACTCTTCAACATTTTGCGGTTAACATTGATCATGAAAATCAAACCAGGGGTCATGAATTAAATTTTTTATTTGAATATTAAAAATATTTCAGAATCCCCTTACATCTGTTCATGCAGATTACATGGTGTATGTTGTTTAAAACTCACTGTGTTATCTTTTGCCCATCATAGAGCTTTTAGCATCAAAGTTTTTAGTGTTCAAATCAACTAATCACCTATTATATTATGACCTAGAAGTTTCTCCAAAGGACTCTAGTGAGATGTGTGTCACTGAATAATTTCCCCCCTGTTTTTTTTTACTTTCGCAGGAGCCCGTTTCTCAACAAGAAGATGATGAGGAGAAGCAGCAGGAGGTGGTCCAGGCACCGGACCTGGTCCCCCTGACAGCGTTCATTCGCAGGGAGAAGCTCCAGTGCTTCCACCTGATCTACCGGGAGCGGCGGGAGCCCCAGGTCAGGTGCCACCACCTCCTCACCCAGGGCCTGAGCGGGGAACAGCAGAGGAAACTGAGTTCGCGGAAGCGCAAGGAGAGGAGGGACTCCAAGGTCCCCAGGTTCTCTTTCCCTCAGGGCAAGGCTGCCGCTGCTGCCGGTGTACCTGGTGAGAGAAGCGGTAAGCCCACTTCCTCATTGGAGTCAGCCAGAGGCCAGAAGAAACTAGGGCAGGAGCAGGTACCGGAAAAGAAGCAGGGGGAGGAAGTGTCAGAGCTCCGACAGACATCGAGAGATGTCCAGGACAATCCTGGAGAGAAAAATGTGGAGCAACTGACAGGAGATGAGGAAGTTGAAAAACGGGATGGAAGCCCTGAACTGCAGGCCGAGCCAATCCAAGGGCCACCTGATGAGCAGCAGCAGGTGGGAGATGTTCCTGCGTCCATTGACGAAGAAGAGTCTCACCTTATTGAGCAGCAAGGCAAGTTGGTGGAGGAGTTCGTACAAGAAGAGATTCAGGCGAAAGAAGAGGTCCAACAGGAGGCAAAGCCTGGAGGGGTCCAAGATGAATTATGGCAGTTGGCAGATGAGCCTATGCAGGATTTACAAGAACAGAAGGGAGAAGAAATGCAGAGGAGGGAAGAACAAGATAAAAGAGATGAGCCTCCAGAAGAGAAGAATGGGGAGGTCAAGGGGGAGGGAGAGGAGCTTCCAAATTGCAACCAGGCTTCAGAGCCAGAAGCCGAGAAATTGCCTGAAGAAACTGGGAAGGAGGTTGTGGAGGACACAACTCAAGAAGAGCAGACAGTACAAGATGAGGTGCCAGAGGATGTCACCAAGATGGATTGTTCCGAGGAACAGACAGTGGGTAAGACAGCATTGCAAGAAACGGTTGAACTGTCACTCAGGGATGCTACCCCCTATAAGCAAGGAGCAAATCCTCCGCAAGTGAAAGATATAGAGCCAGCAGCCGCCACTGAGCCCACAGTTCCCTCAGAATTGCCAAGCGATGAGATTGATAACCCACCGACTCCCACGCAGGATGAGCCCTCCATTTACCCGGAGGCAGATTCGGAGTCTGAAGAGCACAGCGATAAAGGTTCCTCCATCCCCATCTACACGGTACACAGTCCCAAACACCTGCCGCTTGGATCTGTGTTCAAACTGAGCCAGACGTCTCTACAGGACATGAAGCCTTTAAGTGGGGTACGGGTAGAGACGAAAACAGTCTCTAAAGACAGTAATGCATCTGCAGCTGATGACTCCGAAAAACACAGTGAAGCTAGTTACCAGCTTGAAGACAGTCATGACAGCAACACAGACAGTGACAAACACAGAACAGGCACTAAAGTATCACACTCGGAACTGCAAGATAAACCGACCGCCAGCGAGACTTCAGAGTCATCCCAGGCAGAGAGTCGCTATGGGACTCGGCCAAAGCGTCACGCCACCTCTCCGCGGGACTCGCAAGATGACGACTACTTTTATTATGGCCAGCCCAAGCGGGGCCGCTACTCGCAGTCCCCCATCTCCCCGCAGGAGGAGGGGGACAAGGCTGGCCGCTCCCGGGCCAGGAGGGTGTCGACTGACAGTGGGAAGTCAGATGGCACCGGCCGCGAGGCTGCAGAGACCCCCACCCGGCCGTTGCGTCAGAGGCATGTCTCCCCGCCCCGCCGATACTCCCCCAGCGACACCAGAGTGTCTCACCGGAGGTCATCCACGTCCGTCATCCCACACCTCCGCTGCACCGACGGCACCCGCAAAGCAGTCGAGGCGGGGCTCCTCACCCTCTGCGCACGAGCACTTCACGCGACGTTCCTCTGGTCGAGAGGAGGCCAAGCGGGGAAACCGCTACTCAGATATGTACTACTACAACGAGCGCGGGTCCCGTAACCAAGCGGCCAGCAGGGGAGGGGAAAGAGGAAGGGCCTCGGAACCGGTCAGCAGTCGGCGATCATCCAGACGATCCTTGGACGAGAGGCCAGGCAATCAGACCTCCACTAAGCGAAGAAAGTAGATCCTCTCTATCAGGTAAACCTTGAAATTGTTGCTGAAATTGTTACTGTGGAGCCCCTTGTATCTCAAAAGCAGACAGTGACACTAGTGAATAAATTTAGTCGTAAAAAAGGAAGTACCGTGCAAATTTGCAAGTTGCCGATTATTAAAGCCAGGAATGGGCCTGTCGTGAAGTACCACTCCACACCTGGTATTTTGTGATCACATTTGTTCCTGCTGTTTACATTTTCTGAGCTAAAACAAAGTGGAGTACAATGTTTGCAGACATATGTACAAGTACTTGGTGATTTTGTTTTGCCAACAGAAGAACAGCACTGTGACTGTTCAAACATTGTATAAGACTTTTCCGGCACGCGTTCAAAAAAAAAAGCAGCGATAAGATGTACCCCTTACACTTCATAGGAAGTAGGTTTGTTGTTGATGTTAACCTGCAAAAACTTGCCATTATATTTAGTAGTGATGTTGTGAATGGGCGACATGTTGGGTGGTGCATTACACATGTACAACTTTGTACATGATGTACACTTGTAGTAGCCGATGTATAATTGAGGGTAATCATGCGGAAATACATGTACACCATTTTTCCCCTGGAAATTCCATGGTCAGTTCCCAGTTGGGTCCGTATCTGCCTCTTGGGTGTTTTGAGGTACATCAGAGTTTTGTAAATTTTGGCTCAAAATATCAAAGATGTCAGAATGACCAGATTGTATCACAGTGGGCAAAAAAAAAAACTGCATGAGGATATTAATTTATTTGTAAGGTGTATGCATAATGAGCTGCTTTTGATACATGTGCTCTACTTGAAGGCACCACTGAAACACACAGATTGTCCTTTTTTACAAGTGTGGACGCCCCTTACAATCTGTGCACCCATCCTGCTCTTTTCTGCGACCACCATCATTGGTTGGCTTCATCCATGCACATGAATAAGAATTAGCCGTCAACTTGCTGAAGTATATTTCATGAGTTTTCCCACATTCATGTAGGTTACTGGAGATGGATCCAACCAACCGGCTTCAAGTTGACGAGTTATGTATACCAGGGGTGAGATTGACCAATATTAAAAATAGCTGTACTGCTCAAAAAGGCATGAAAAAGCTGAACTGTGGAAATCTCGTATACTTTCGTACACAGCCAGTGAGGAAAAAAAAGCTGAAATCCAAAACAAAAAAAAATGAGAAATCTCACCCCTGGTCTGCTTGCATGATGACCAACTACATGAAAATTGATGTACTACAGTCACATTATAAATGGTTGTGAACAGAGACAGTCATGTCATTTTAACTTCAAAAAACAGGGAATAATTTCAAACAGATGCACCATGCAAATGTGTAATTATCATTTTATTTACTTTTTAATGAAAGATTTTCTTTTGTCAGAAAAAGGCAGAAATGTGATTTCAAAATGTTTTCTATTTAAGTCTTCTCTAAACCCATTTATCCTCAAGTGTTTCCTTTGAACTTCCAATCTCATTCTAGGTACATTTGATCATAGGAGATTTTACATGATAAACATATTTCATAGACTTTTTAAAGTAAAGATTAGCACCAGTATTGTAAAGGAGAGCTGTATTTTTTTTCTCGTTTGCATTAGAAATGCAATTTGTTAAAAATGCAAGGAAACTTTGCATGCATACACGTACATGTATATCCAAGAAAGGTGTAAGTTATCTATCCAAGCTCTGTAGCAATTGTACATGTAACGAGTTGGAAGTGCTTTCATGTATTCAATGTGGCTACTGGAATAAAACGTCAAACATATATGACAGCTCTACTTCTATGGCAGGGATAAATGAGTACTACGTAAAATTTAACTACATGTCCATGAACACGTATATGTAATAATAGCATTCTACCGACTTCTTTGATCGAATAATATCGTTGATAGAAATTGCATTTTTATGATGACATAATTTAAAATTGTACAACCGTGGCATAAAATCTGCCACTAAATAAATATACAAGTTCATCTTTCACAATTCCAAAGCAATGCCGTAATATTTGTGCTACACAACCACATGAAGACATAGGCAGTCAATGCTCACCAAACCCCACCAGCCTTAGGAGAAAAATTTTGCATTCCTATTTGAGCTCGAGTGAGCCTTTTGCGCCCCCCCAATTGTGGGCAATAAATGTAATTATTATGTACACGACGAGGCGAAAGCACTGGAGTGGAAAATTGTGAACAGCGGCCACCAAGGCAACCAGGCCTGAAATATAACGCCACTTACCCCAACACCATTTATACCCCATTTGAAAGGTTTCTGAAGCAAGAACAAAATTAGCCTTTCCTACGAGCACTGCTGCTCTGTCCAAAAGGGATAAAGTTCTTAAATTTCAAGGTGACGGTAAAACAATCTTTGGTCTGATGGCAGCCCAAGAAGGAGCATGATGATCCTCCAAAGGAATTTGCCACAAATTTCAACTCCTCCTTCCCCACAACGGACTCGAGTGATGTGCCACATGCAATAAATTAGAATTAAATACATATTCATATCTATATGTCGATATTACAGAATAACAATTTTTCTGATATTTACATAACAGGAAAAAAAACAAGTTGTGGTGATGCCAATGTGAAATTGCCACAGCATGGCTGATTTAAACGGGTCCATACTTCTTGGTACGTACAGTACGCAGTGTGATATTTTTTCTTGCAGTAAATTGCCGTTCAGTTTACGCCTTGCATGACATGAACTTGTTCAACTCGGGCCAAATTCATTTATGCCATGCACAATTTCACTATGTTATGCATCAAACTCTGCTAAACCAAAGTACATCCACTAATGGTATAAACATACATAGACTTACGGACTGGTCAAAAGATTTTCAATGATACACATGCATTTCAAACAAAACCTAGTTACAATGTAAATAAATAATTTAAGTACCGCCGCAAGTGTGGAAGCATCAGTGAACATTGTTTAACAAACGTCTAAATTTTGTAGGGTTTTCTGGGCCAGGACGGATGAGGTGTTTGTGAGTGTTTCTTTGAATCTTGGTGCTCTATAGCCGAATGGAGATCAGGTACACTTCATATACCTGTGTTCAGTGAACAGAGCTTGTTCTCAAAAGCAAGAATTATTTGTACAGGCCCTTAATACTATGGTACTATCAAAGACAAAGATACTTTAACACAATGACCACACTGACGTCTATGTACTGACTGGATAGTGCGCGCTATATCACTGTGCACAAACAAATGAGGCCTCCTCAGCTCCATTATTTGGGCCTCCAAAGATACTGCCCTGTAAACTGATCCTGAGTCTTCAGCTCAGTTTTTGTAAGGCATGTGAGCAAAGTTGGGCCTCCAAAAGATGGCGCCTGGTGACTTCCAGCCCTCGGTCCAGTCAGTATACAGAGATCAGGTGACTGTGTTACTTAGCTGTTGTTTGGCAGAGTTGGTCAGCGGCGTTGAGTTGAAGGCACTGCGCGGCTCAGTCGTTGGGCGTGATAGTGATGAACAATCCCTTCTCTGGCCACTGGTACGTTTTTGGAAGGTCGATCTGCATGGGTAAATACAATCCTGACATTGTGAGCAAAATGCTGAGCACTTGTCCCGCTGGCGGAGCATTCTTTGAATTTTGAGACAGAATTCAACTTTAAAATACAAGGAGAGAAAAGGAAAGTCGCTGACAAGAATTGGGGTATTTTGCATCAGAAAAACTACTGGGTGGGACGATTTGCACTGGAACAATCAACCAGTGGCATTCGTGTCCACCACAAGTCCAGTCAAAAGTCCTCACAAGGCTAGTCATAAGTCCCTTCACAAGGCCAGTCATAAGTAACAGGGTGAAGATGGCAAAGGAATGCCGCTGTCACAGTTCATTGGAATGGCTTGTGAACTGGCTTAAGACCGAATGACTTGTGATGGACTTACAGGGATTGGTGATGGACTCGAATACAACACTGCAATCAACTGAGTTGATTACCTGTTCAGAAGCTGACAGCTCATCAAGTTCCTCCTCCAGCAAGTTGATGAAGTCACTGGTGAACAACACCTGGCACGTGGGAACAAGCATGAAAGAAGTTTGGACAGGGTTCCTCATAGTGGCCTATCCCCCTAGTCTCATAGGCAACCAGTTACCGCTTTCTCTATGCCTAGGACACCCAAGCCCCATGCAAAATAATGATGCTGAAGCTGAAGGCATGCTGCAACTTGGGCGTTTTCATGGTCCAGACTTTTCCCAAGGCTTTGCACAAATGCTTACAAGATGTAAAAACAAACTAGATAAAAGAAAAAAATAGTCCAATTGATTTGATTTTGTACATAAAGAGCAGTCTAGGACTATTTTATGTGAAAGTAAAGTTCAAAATCAACGGTGTGAGAGGGTGGATCTTATAGTGGTGTAAAGCAAGGTCTCAGTGGAAGTTTCACCATAAAGAGCACAGTTCTATCTCAACTTGGATGTTATATTAACTCAAAAGAGAATTTGAAATCATTTGTAGGAAGTGATAGGTTCTTGGCCACAACATTGTGATTTACATCACTGTGCAGACGTTTCTTGTCTACTGACCTGTAGCCACTGTCCCCTGGCGGCATAAGGATGGGACTCTTCCACAAAGGCGCCTTCCACGCCATTGGACACCAGTGTTATTGCACAATCTCCCGAGACGCTCTTGAAAGTAAAGTGGCGGCCGTGTCTTAAACGACCCCTATTGAGATACAAGGAGAAAAAATCCTTCCCGGTGAGCTATAATTCTTATAAATGTACCCTAAAATGTCTCCATTTTTTTTCAAATGAGAATCAGGCTTCAGAAAACAGTAATGGAAAAAGCATCATAGCTCACTTCATAGACAAAGGCAGCAGTGCGGCAGCTTCATGGTTCAGCCTGATGTGGACCCGCTCCAGGCAGCGTGGGTTGCCCAGCTCCACGAGGTTGCCCTGGGGATCACTGTCGCTGTCCAGTGACGACTGCCGTTGGGACTGTAGGTACGGTGGGTTGGCGGGGGGCTTGCCGGCCTGCGGGTTGGAGATGGGCGGCAGGGCTGGACGCTCACTGGCTAGACCCTTCTTGAGGGCGGCTTTGATCTGTTCTGACTCTGCAAGACAATGCAAATGACTCCACGTTAATGAAACACAGAAAAACAGCTATCTAGATTTGATGTTTCATGTATATTCATAGTATATTCATAGGCTGTTGAACAAAAGCCCTTCTCGAACACAGCTAGCTGGTTTTAAGCCTACCAGTCAGCTGGTTTTAAGCCTACCAGCCAGCTGGTTTTAAACCTTCCAGCCAGCTGGTTTTAAGCCTACCAGCCAGCTGGTTTTCAACCTTCCAGCCAGCTGGTTTTAAGCCCACAGGAGTATGTTGCATTGGGCTACATTTGGCTCCACCTCGTTCAAAATTGCCAATTTTCAGACTGAGGGAACTACAGGTAGTCCTACTGAACAGTGCCCTGTTAGATCCTGTGATGGCTAAAATGGTTAAAATGCCTTGCTCAGGAACACAAAATGATTGTGGTAAAGAACTGCACAGAGAAATCTTGAATTGGATGTACCGGGTCACACCACAGCTAGACCACTTTTGCCAGATCACTCTTAGGGATCGTAAAAGTGTACGCTGCATGGCATTATCTGATACTCGACTTCTACTGCGGCGACAACTCACGCTGCGGGGAGATTCTCTGCGACAGTGGCTTCTCATCCCCAGACACCTCCAGGTCATCGGGCTCCTGCCAGGAGCAGCGGGCGCTGACCCCACTCAGGTTGGAGCCGTCCATGTCGATGCCCCGCTCCACCTCATCCTGCAGGTGGGGGTTCAGTTCAAAGATGGTCTCCCCTCTCCGCATGTCTGTGATCAGCCACTCCCCCCCAGCCCTGAAGTCAAACAACATTTTGTGCAATGATAATTGTATTCTAAACAATCTGAACCAGTGTCTTGTTCTTTTCCTTTAACCCCTTGGCGACGGGAATTTCTTTCCGAAAGCTGACTCCAAGAATTCCAGCCTCGCTTGGTCACGAAGGCCACCTGCCAAACCGCAAATTCTCGGTTTGTGGCCCTCCGTGCTCTGCACGCTTTGAATTACACGGGGAAAAGGCTGATTGTTCGGTGGCATGCAGCTCTACTCACCCTTTCACATTCCCATTGCCTCTTTTCAAAGTGGGGACTATTCTGAAGCTGGTGATTATGATGCAAATTCCATCTTTTCATTTCTGGGCTATGCATAAAGACCAACTACCATATATACAAGAGCCAGGGTCTGCCTTCTTTCACCGTGTTCGCTCGAGCGTGGACCGAGAATAATAGCTGAAAAGCGGGCTGAGATCTCAATTTTTATGGCATTTCTAGCCGTGTCCCAGCGCGAAGGGGTTAAAGACACGTGTTGCTCATGCTCCAAAACATACCTCTGACAATGACAAGGGAAGACTTGAATGGACAAAACACTTCGTACAATTTGTTCTTGGTAAGTATGGCAGAACATAAAGAAAGAGGGTACTTATTAAAGCAACTGCAGAGATTTTGATCATTATCCTGACGCATTTTGCTCTGCTCTCAAACCGGCGTGCGACTGAAACTGGGCTTTGCCCCGGCATCACAAATGCAAGTGCCATACTAACACCTGACAGGACTTCAGGAGTTCCAAGATGGATGGACCATTCCACCTCTGGGCTGCCTGCAATTCCTCAGTGCACACACCAACAATCTGCAAAGGACCACCGTATATTTGTCAATCACCACAGGGTTTAATCACAGCAGAGAGGGTTCCCGCAACATGTCGACTATTCCCACTCTGGGGGGATATCCGTTGGGTCCAACCTTTGTTTTTCGGCATGTCCCATGGGCCACTTTTTCAAATAATCACAGAATACGTACCAATGCCAGTACGGATTTGAAATAAAGTAAAACTTCGCTCACTTCATGAACTTACTCCAATCTGAAAGCTGGGAATGACAGTAAGTACAAAATTGCATCTTTAACCCTAACCCCCTAGGCCTTTTTACCAGGAACCATCCTCAATCCTCCAAAGTTCTCCAAAATCCTCCGATTTTCAACATGAAAAAATTGCATTCAGCCTGAATCCTCCAAAATTTCTTGAAAATGTTTTTTGGAGGTCTGCCTGCTGCCTTAATCCTTCAAAATCCTCCAGCAATTCCTGTCATTATATTGAGGCAGTGCGAAGGGCATTCTTGAGCAGTGCGGTTGATTCAAAAGAAATATTGGGCTGAATTTGTGCTTGACTAAGCAAAAACAATACAAGGTCTAATCCACGACCTTCACGCATGGCATCCTTCATAATCAGCCATGCATTTTTGCCATTCACCCTCAATCCTCCAAAATCCTCCAAAACCGCCCGAAGGATTTTGGAGGATTGAGGAGGGTTAGGGTTAAAGTGGGAAATGGAAACATTGGGTGTAAGGCTGTGTCTAAAAGTTGTGGCTGTGGCTGTGGAAATAACATGGGCATCTATGGGAAGCTACTGGCTAGCTGGAGCAGTTACTATCATAGACATAGGTTACTCCTAGCCACAGCAAGTTGATACAGACATAGCCTTACCGACACCTTTGAACTGACACGGACGACGCGTCGTTCTACCAAAAATGATTTCACTTGTGTCAAGTGGCAAAATGCACAGCAGTCTTCGAGGAGCGACGTACCTGGACGAAGTTGACCATCCCCAGTGGAGTAGCGATGGGTTGGAGCTGAGCGTCTTCGGACATGAGCATGTGCTGGACCCGAGACTCGCTGTTGTCTAGTGGACTGTGCCACGACACGTGGTCCCCTGCACACAAGGTGTTATCTGAGCAGCCAAGGGATGAAGTATACAAAATTGATCACTCTCCATTAATTCTGTACACAACCCAACATTATCTCACGGTTTGAGCACAATAAGCAGTTGAGCTGTTTGGGGCAGTGGTGTGACAAAATGTTTATGAAATGGACTCAAGTCTCATCGATAGGAATTGACAAAGGAGGGCAGTAGGGATGTGTGAGGACTGGCGAGTTACGATATCTTCTTTCTCATTCACGGCTCATGATGGCAAAGTCCTGTGTCATCAGAAGAGAGCACCACGAATGGTGCCACCGATGCCCAGTCCCATCCATCTTAAACAGTGCCCCAACTGTCCGATGATATCCAACCCATCCCAAAGCAAAATTCTTCAGCATGGTCCACCACCAATCTCCTGGTCCCTCTGACTTGAAACCAGTGGCGAGATGGGAGGAAAAAGAAGTGTCCACAAAATAATCACCAGAAGGTTTAGAGGGCCCCATGGCAACACAGGGTCTACGGTTTTTCACCTGGTTCATTTCTTGGTTTCTATTATCAACTTTTATACACAGACACGCCTTAATCATAATCTCTGGATTTTTCAGAAATCAGGAAAACCGCAGTCCAATTATGCTCATGCAGATCAAGCAAGTCAACAGTAAAATTGGCATATTGTAAGTGAAACAATCGAGGAACTCCAAATCTGCGTCTACTTGCCAAATCCTGTTTGCAGTACACAGTCCAACCTCGTTAATAAGAGCACTGTTAAAACAAGATTCTGCTTATAACGAGGAAAATTTTAGGTCCCAATCCTTTGTTTTTCCTTGTTTTCATTCCTGATGATACATGGTTCCTCTTATAACAAGTTAAGTCCGAAGGATCTCTTATTAAGGGGGGTTTGACTGTCTAACTAGAGAGTGGAACAAGTAGAAGTACGACTCTCCAATTGCATTAAATACCTGATTGGAAGACATATTTGGCAAGGCCTTGCATGAGTTGGGCAGGCCAGGTAGGGGGCGCTGTTTCTGTTGGCTCCCTTTTCAGTCGGAAGGTCAGCTCAAAGCCAAAGCCACTTGGAGTGTCGGGGCCCGTGAACCTGTAACGGCAGCAAAACTTCAGTGATCGACTCTCTGAATCACTTAGCTATTGAGACTTGGAATAAGACAAGCCCACCCCTACAAGCCATCACTGGAGGGGGCGTGTTGCTTGTTGATAAATTCGTGGACAAAGCCTTACATCCAAAGCCCTTAACCACTAGAAAGGGTTTCTATCTGCCCCGAGTTGAAGTGCGCCCCAACCTCCCATGGAAAGACAGGGTGGTGGGTTAATTTCCAAACGCCCTCACACACACCTGAAGACACACACATCAAATGTTTGCACGTACTCAGCACACCCTGTGCCAAATTCATATAATTCTGCGTGATAATGCAGTGAGTACCAACCAAAGTTAAGGAGTGTTGTTTCTATGTTAAAGCATGCCCTCTCTTGCTCCCGCTCAGAGAAGATAAAAACCAACCAAAAAACTAAACACAGAGCAAATTGTTTGTTAAGCCCACAATATGCTAAACCCAGGAAAGTTTTGCTTAGCGCACCCACATTTAACTGCTTCTGAAATGTTTTTCAGCTCGGCAGATGTCTACCTCCCTGACAGCTCCACAAAGACCGGGTCTATTACTTACTCATGGACTCGTCCATCACCGTAGAGGTCCGAGAGTCCAAAGCTGACGTAATGCCAGTGAGGGGGAATCCCTCTCTCTAGCAGGCCTGGGTTGCTGTACATACTGATGTAGTCCAATGGGTCGGGACCCCCAAGCCTATAGAATCCAACCAAGCACAGAAGATGAGATTTGAAACAACATCTGGGGTCCAGAAGAGATTGACCCGTCTTTGGATTCGTTGCTTGTCTGCCTACTGTCCTGTCTTATCAATTGTTCACTGAACGAACGACACCTAAATATCACGGCGTTCAATGTTTGAACTGTTTTCTCACTTTTAACAATCATATTCCCACACGTTTACTTTGGAAAGAATTCCATACACAGACGCCACTTGACACCCTGTAGACAAACATTATGAGACTGGTCTGAAAAATTGTGTGTTCCGAGTGAATATCTCAATATTTCCACTGCTAAATTTAACTTTTAAGGACATTTTATTGCTTTCAGATTGCCAACAGCTCACTGCAGGGAAAAATTAGTTGTGTCCTCACGTGGAATTCTTTCAACAATATTTTATGTATGGCTGAGTCATTTGAATAATTCACTATTCGAATATTCGACTTTCAATTCAATCAAATATCTGAACATTCGGTTGTACTAACCGGCAGATTGTTGATGAACAAACCATTTCATTTGCAATAATGCACACAATTGTACATTACAAAATCACTTTCATAGTTTCTCGCTTCTAGGACTATCTCCAGCCATGATTTAGCAAGTAACTCTCCACTTTCACACCAGACTGAAACGAACAGTTTTGAATAACGCAAGCCGCACCACCTTCTGCACACACATGTACATTTTGGGTTTAAGTTACTTCAAGTTCACAGTACCATGGGGATCCAACATAAGCAAATCATCAGCTCTATTCAATTAACAAGGAAGTTGAAAGTTACTGCTGCAGATGGGGGGGGGTGTATAAATTATAAATTCCTATTCAGCATGTTGTGTGCGTCACGTCCATACAGTGCATTCCTACATCCTGCATCAGTGATCCAGAACTCTCTCACACACCGTCATAAAATCTTTTTGGTGAATATGGCGATTCAGTGTATTCATCTGTCACAAAATTGATTGCATGATATTTCAGATTCTTTCTTCACACACTAAAAAAAAAAATTGACGTGGTAACAGAAAACCTACATATAATAAACACATACCAGAGGCATCCAAAACTGCATTGCGGTCAATGTTCAAGTGATCTGCAAAATTTCCATTCAGACTATTGTCTGAAATTACTGTAATTTCAGACATTAGACTGATTTATTATCGTAAACAAATGGGGCCTATTAAAATAAAATGATTTGACACCAGAATTCATTTTTATAAGATTTATTTTCACCATGTCCACTGCTCCAGCTCTCCCATGCTAGATGACTCTCTTAATATGTGGGCAGAGACATTACTTTCATGTCATTTTGAGACGATTTCACGCTCTTTCCTGTGATATCAACAACGTAGGGCTTACCCACTCACAGTATTGCATTGAACGGTGGTACATGGTGCACCTCGCTCTGACATGTCTGAGTCATGTGTAATCTTATTCCCACTAGTTGGTCAGAGACTTCGGACTAAAACTTACCAAAACTTCAAAACGGCGGTGACTTGCAACGGATTCGGCTGATCAGGATAAAGATTCCTACACGCAGTATACACAGCCTCTAATCCCACTGGAACTATTGGCACAGCGTCGGCTTTATCGCCTTCATTTGCGGCCATTTCACACTTTGAGGCCCAGTACCTCTCGATTTCCCAGTTCGTCGACTGTCTTGTATCTTGAGCTCTCTGATACTGTACTAGGCTACTGGCCCAGGCCTAGACGGATAGTGCTTTTGGAATGAGTACTGGTGCACGGCAGTCACCTAGCACTTAACAACACGGACTGGGGTGACGAGCGCGCACCAGTTAACGAGTTTTGCATCTGTTGCTGCATGCAATGTAACAAAAGGTGATTACAAAGCTACCAGACGACTTTCTTGACATCCAACCTGTTTAAATTTAGGGGTGTGTCCTAACAGTGAAGTGGGGGCTCTATCCTTCAACAATCCATCACCCGTTGTGCTTAAATTAGATATTTCATTGTTATGAAATGTGAAAAAGTCAATAATAATCAACTTTACTTTGTTGTAATAAATCAGAGCTCCAAAACCAACAAAAACCTCAGGCAAATCATTTTGTCATTTTGGTTTTTCGCTTCTTTTATTTTCATTTTATATTTTTGATGGCTCCGCGCCATGACAATTAGACGAAGTTCAGTTTTACACTCAAATACCTTAGGAGTTTTTATTAATATTTAATTGCTTCTGTGGAACACAAGAAAGAATATAATGACGAGACGGTCGCGTTAAAACTTGACCTCTGTTCATCCCACGTATACGTATACATTCCTGTATGATTTATCATGAAACGATCGCCATGGTGACTCGATGTTACTGGAAACCATGGATTAGAGACCAAAGCTGGGTCTCGCTCTGCTTCCTTGCTCTATTATCCGACCATGCAGCGGCGACCGCGACTGTAAACCACGTGACTGCACCGCAGGCTCAATTTGCATGTGAACGTACGGGCGCACTGAAGCGAACACGGGTGAATGGTGTGTAACTCGAGCGAAGTGCGACCCCGAGGTCCTTGAAATGGCCGGCCGTGCACCCCTACTGCATGTTACCCACACACTGCTGTGGTATTTGTGTACAGTACGTGGGTGCACCCTTGCCATAAATTCATTGTGTGCGTGCTGAATAGACGAGCAGTAGTACTATACTATACGAACAATATGCACCCAATCTTTTCTTGCATGTACATGTATGTACACGTACCTCCATGGTTGAAGCTTAGAGCAAGTTCTTGCTCTTTAGTTGAAGCAAGTTCTTGATGTTGTTCACATTAAAACTAGCAGTATAAAGAAGTTACCATCGTATAACAAACAGTGAAAATCTTGGAGGAAGGAAATATCGGAAATTTTCACAAAGTAAAAAGGGAACAGCCAAGATGATTTGTGTAATGGTTGTACTGCTGATCGCCATGGGACCGGGACAGTGTGAGACAGCTAATGACACGGTTGTTACCACATCAGCTGGAGGGACTGCGACGGGCGATGGCGGCAGTACCACCATAGAAATAGGAACCTATACCACTGACCGGGACAAACCTGAATCTGCTTGCAACTCATCGCTAGCTGTGTCTACTGACGTGACAAACTTCCGCGGTCTCGTAGATGGCGGGGCTATTTTCGTCTACTTCAAGTTAGTTTTTGAGGACGCCCAGTTCGACGACCCCCTCTCAGCCTACTTAGAAGACATCGGCAACGTCATCAACCCCCTCCGATGGGTGTGGGCCAAGGGAGGAAGGGGGAAACTTCTACTGTCCTCCCCCTTCGACTTCAACCAGTTGTCGCTGACAACTCTGGGTACGGGCGTGCATTCAATGGAAGTGAAGATCCATGGCTGTCTTGAGGCTGACAGCGACGATGACGAAAACACAAGAATGATTGCAACACTGTTGCGGAATTTTACTAAGGATGCAGGCAGTAAGACGCAGGGTGAGAATGGCAACGAGATGTTGATATGCCTTGAGAAACAGCTTGGGAAACAAGACTTTCCTTTGCCGGGGGTGTTGTACTTCCCTGGCTCCTCCTACAGCATGATGCAAGCAAGCTCCGCCTTCGATTGCTGGCCGGCTGACTCTGACACTACGGAGAGAATCGTTCCAACCCAGTACTGGCTTGGTTGGATCTTGGCGGGAGGTGTCATCCTTGCCCTCTACTCCCCGCTGGCCATGATCTTCTTTGTGCAGAAAAACCCAGCAGAACGCGACGATCAAGGTGTTACGCGACTAAGCCTGGTCTCTGATCTTCCTCTGGGACTTAAATACGTCCTGTGCTTCTGGAAGAACGACAACGCCTGCTTCGCCTCTGCCAGATGGACGCTATTCGTAGTGATCTTTTTACTGTTCCAGTACATTCCCGTTCTAGTGTCGTTCGTGACCGACATGGAGGACTTCACCAAGAGATCCAGTGCCTTTTACCGCGTCGGTCCCATCAACATCATCGTCAGTGTCGTCTCGCATCTATTGATCAATCTGATCTTTGTCATCGCAGCCGTCGTATTGATGGAAAGGTTTCAGCGGCCTTCTGGTCAGTTGTTTATGGAGCCGCTTCTCCGCGAGCGTGAAAGACGACTGACCGTGAGCAGCACTGATTCGCGCGACGAAGGAGAAGCAGCTGCAAATAGTGGGGCCAGTGAAGGCGGCGAACATGAAGAAACTTCTGCAGCGTTGGACAGACAGCAGAGTGGAGTCTCGCGGCGCGCCATGGTGGTGGACGAGCCCAACATCGCTTACAAACACATCGTTCTGGTGGAGGCTCCAAGACCGCTGTGGGCGCCCAGTACGTTTCTGGTAAGCTCCCAGGCCTTCTTTTATTATATGGGTTGGAGGGCAAAAATGGGTCTGGACAAAAATGCTTGGCGGTTTGTCCTTTTCGGTTGGCTGTGGGGGATCATTTCCCAACACGTAGGCGCTCCTTCAAACCCAAGGACTGTCCTGTGTGCTATGATCTTCGCCCTCCTTTACTTGCTGTATCTTCCATTTGCTCTCATCTTCTTCGCGTTCAATTCACTACCGTTGCTTTACTGCATGACGAGATGTCTCCAGACTGCAATCAGTAATGACGTCAAAGCCACAGAGTTGATGTTCGCCTTCCTGATTTCCCTGGCATCCATCGCCTGGTTCTTCAAGTTTGTGGCCACATTTGTCTACGTGGCAGAGCTTCTCGGCTACTCCTTCATGGGTTTTGTCGTTAATGCCAATGCAGTGGGATCCACTGTTCTAGTCATTGCGATCTTTGTCGGCTACGTGGTTACCGCCATTACCGGCTTTTACGATGGATACTGTATGCTCTTCAGCAAGGTCTTGAAGCTCGCCGAGGAGGCAGACAAGGAAGAGCGGAAGAGAAACACCCCGGCCGAGGGAGCCGGTGCAGCCCAACAGGGTGGGAGTGCTGCTGTCCGAAGAAGTGCATCTGGCTCCGGGGGAAATACGATGGAAATGACGCCGGTGGATGACAGTCGGTCAGGATCTTCAGGTAGTGCCGACATTGTGCAGGCATCAGCGGGAGGTATCACCGTACGGCACACATATACTCCCCTGGTCAGACTCAACGCTGGGGACATCCCGTCCTTGGATCTGCGTCTGTTCTGGCATATTGTGGAAAAGTACCGGCCCATCAGGCTGGAGGTGGGTTCCACCTTCTTCAAACTCCTGGTGATCGGCGTGGGTATCGGCTTTGGGATGTCCCTCCTCGCCATCGCTGACTCCTTGAGCGAACTGTCCACTACCGTCAGTCTCTTCTCCTCGGTGATAATTGCTGGCGTTGTACCGACGGTGCTCCTTGCACTGAGGTCGCCAGCTTCCCAGGACTGTTACAACCAAGTCAAGGAGAGACAGATGAAGGCAGACATTAAGAACTATGCAGAGAAAAGCGACGTGAGACCACAAACTTGAGAATCACCTATGGGGCTTCAACGACGATGCGCCAATTCATAGAATATGATGCACTGTGCATTGCACACTGTGACGTCAGGAAGTGCCATTTTAAGCCAAGGGACCCTTTATAAAATTACCTGTGTGGCTAAATTTGGACAACATTTAAGAACAGTCTCCAGAGTGTTTAGACAGTCGGTATATTGGCTGCTTGGCAAAATATCCTTGTGCTAAAATCGACTGTTTTCGCAGAATTTGATGTTTCGAATACTTCTTTATAACACAACGCAGCTGCACCTTTTGAAAAAAAAACCGCACACGATGCACAAATGTTTTAATTTTTTTTCTGACGTATGATTTTGCATCCAAGTAGTGTTCCATAGAGAAATACCAGTGTTTTTTAAATTATATTTCGTCGACCCATTGGATTTACCACCATTGAAGAGAGGGTAAGGGGAAAATTAATGAGACCCAGTTACATGTAACGTGTAGGTGATTAGTGTTTTATCCGTGTCATATATGAATCTGTTTCTATCATTTTCTCATTTTCTAGTTTTTACAGTAACAAGGTTGTGTGCATTTCCGACTTGACAAATCCAAACTCAATTAATCAGTCAAACAAGGCGCACAGTGTTCCCGTGGCACATTTACTTTTTTTCCCCTGAAACCAACCGATTAACTTGAAATTACATGAGACGGGATAAACATATGCAACATTATTATGTTATAGCATGTAGTGTAGGTAGACCACCGACTAAGCTGCAGGAAGTTCTTCACGGTCAAATGCTGTATACCACAGTGCTTGTTTTACACTATGCAAAGTACATGCACTTGTATATTATTTCTTGGAACTGTTTAAAACATTTAAGTGGTGGAAGTGAAGACAGAATTGTTTCACGAACTGCGTGCAAATATAGATATATTCTTTTTACTTTTTCGAATTTAGAAATTTCAGTCTTAGTGGTTTAGTTTAGAAACTGTTTTGTTTGGGGTGTGCTAGTTGTACCACGCTTTTGTTTTCCAGCTTGCAGTGTAGTCGTAATAATTATTAGAAAATCATGCACTCGATAAAAAAGAACGTAAGTTACATGTAATTGCTTGGTCTCGGTAGTGCACACGAGTAGCTAGTTGTGGGAAAAACTGCGTCAAGTAGATGGTAAGTAGCCATCTTGTCTCTGGCAATGACAGACTGACATTGGTTGTTGGCTGTAATTCGTATTTTCGAGACTCCCGGTTTGCTGAACATGTACGTGTTAGCAGGAATTTACTGTGATAAAACGGAAACCATTTCCAGGCAGCTGTAATAAATTAAATCATGCATAATGTATTATTTAATCTAAGACTGAAAAATATGACTTGTGACAGTCAGTCATCATGGAACCTCAAATGTATTCTGTGCATAGTATGGAGTTTGTATTAAGTAACACAGTGCTGTATTCTGCTGGTAATATACAGGTACGTATTGACGATGTTCATGTTCTTTAATCTGCGATGATTATCTTACATTTCATTTGCAGAGTTCTTGATGTGTATGTACATGTATTTACTTCATTGTGGAGCTTCAACTCAGTACTGCATCAACTCCACATAAAGTCTTGCGAAGATTTTCAGAAAATTATTGTTAATAGAGTACCGAAGTGAATATGCCACGCGCACAATTAGTGTATGCTCTAACCGATTCGTAAGTGTGACGTCACTTCAGTTTAAACCACGCCCACTGCACATGCACTGCATGCACAGAGTTAATGCAATGATCGCCGTTAACATGGAACCATGGAACCGGAAGTTAACGCGCAACGTCAGCGATTGTCCAATGGGAGCCTGCAAATCGTGGCGCGTCCTCCTTTGTGACGAAGTCACATGTACGAACCGGATAGCGACCACGTAGCGGACGATATAGCTCGTGAAACGAGTCACAATGAGTGCTGTTGTTTGCTGGTTTGTTTCCAGGTTGATTTGTTTAATTCACAATTATTGATCATGGCACGGTTATAAAATTCAGTGACTGTAGTTGGTGTTGCTTTACTGTTAGGATTTCGTTTCGCTTACAATATGCCAAACAATTGAATGTACTGTGAATAGCACAAAAGAAGCGACCTCTCTACGCCCCAATGCCAATGAAATGTACACGAACTGTGTACATTTCTTTTTATTTCTTTTTAACTTTTATGTGTGTCTGACGTCGTTGTCTGTATTGGAGACAGTTTTGTTACCCAGATAACGAAAACGAACGAGACAGCGACGTCTGGAGTCCTGCACGATCTTTTGTATTCCACGAACATGTGCACTTAAATAGTCGTAGTTTGGTAACCTTATATAGTTTGCACAATGCATTTTTAACAATTAAATGGCTTCAAGTGGTGTTGATGTGGGAATAAAACGAATTTCGACAGTGTTAATGTTTTTGTGCTTCGGTATGCAAGGAATTTGTCAAGGTTTGCAAATGTATACTTGTATCTCGAAAAGCGTGTTAACAAAATTGTGAAATGGGATAAATTAGTACACGGCGATGTGCAGTTACTTAGAGACAAAGGAAACTTCGTATATATGCAGATGCGAACTATAATGAGGTTCAATCTACTTTCATAAAATGGACAAAATGATGGCTACTTGTGAAACTCAGTGGCTGAAATATAACTTGCAGATAACCACCAATTAAATCGAAAGTAGAAAGACTATTTTTTAAAATATATTTTGGATATTTCATTGACATCATTGAAGTTTTCATTTCAAGGGGATTTTTAGCAGTCTGATCTGTGGGATGGATGCAAATACTAAATTATATCAAATAATTGAACATTTTCGTTTTGGAACAAATCAGCTGCACAAACAAGACACCCACCGTTTTTTATGTGGTCCTTTAAATAAAACTAAATACATGTACAATGATCAGTGTACTACAAAGCCCTGTCTTGTATCGGAATGAACTAAAACTGGCCAGATCTGCATCAACACACCAGGGCTACAGACGGCGAGGAAGAACGTAGTTGGTAGGTGAATACATAAATCTGAACTTCCGCCAGGAATAACCATGCAGTCAGTTCTTCCCAGTCTATTCCCGTTCTCTTTCCTCCTTGACGACCAGCAGAAGCCTCTGGAACCATGCTGTCACGGCGTCTGGAGAGACACAGAAAGAGAAGCCGCGCGATTTGTTACTTTGGCGCCAAATTTCTGGTCAATTGTGGGGGATGTCTAAGTTGCCCTCAAAGTTGCCCTGCGCTATAAGACATGCGCACATATATTTATGTACATTAATTTGAATATCAATGCTCCTTCCCCCATCAGCCTATACCATGTATCATATCATGCTAGATTATGTCTCTTCATTGAACCCAAAGAAGAGCTACCCCCAAAGAAGAACTACCCCCAAAGAAGAGCTACCCCCAAAGAAGAACTACCCCCAAAGAAGAACTACCCCCAAAGAAGAGCTACCCCCAAAGAAGATCTACCCCCAAAGAAGAACTACCCCCAAAGAAGAACTGCTCGTCATGGACTGGCATATTTCTTTTCCTTTGAGTGTATCTGGACTAAAAATAGAAGAAACCTTGTATTCGAGTCAGACATCCGGGTAAGCGTTTCGGGTAGACCAGCAGGAAATAAACTGGTATCCCTGTCAGCATGATGCCGACCCCTATGGCGGTGTTGATCGGCGAGTTGATGGTCCCCATGATGATGAGAAAGATGGCCGCCAACACAAACAGGACGGCTATAATGATGTTGACCTGTCGAATGACACAAACATGCGAAAGGCGTTTGCCGTCATTTTGGGACAGCCACACTTCAGTAAGTACGCGTACAGAATTCATCCGTCTGGTTATTTGATGACTCACAAAGTTATGGTACCAGTGTGGTCGAAACTTTGACTGAGCCATGTGAGAGATAGATGAATGCATATGAAATATGTTAATATCTGGAAGATGTTAATTGTAAACAAAAAAAGGAAATTTTAAGGCCTATCCCTGTCTTTGGTAATTATATAGACGCCAAGCCAGAACACATCAATTCCTCCAAGAGAGGTTTGTAAGCTTCTGTCTTTTTGTCTAATTAATTTACCTTCGCAAATAATGTAAAGCACCAGGGAATGACTGGCTTCCTTATGGCAAACAAAGACTTGGGTTCAATGTGTATTTCCCGTAAAATGAAAACTCCTGGACTTGCTTGTAATCTTTGTGGTGCGAATAGACTATACATTTACTCACCTTGAAGGGGCGTGGCTTGTCGGGCTCTTTGTAGCGAAGCCAGATCATTCCCGCCACAACGGCTCCACCCGACGTCCACTGCACGAAGTTGAGGAAATTAATCAGGGTGTAGATGTCATTGGAGAAGGTGTAAATTACAGACAGGATGACCTGGCAGGGACAGGAAAGGAATTGTATTGGGAGAATATTTCTGAACTGTATTATTCTTTCTAGTAAACTGAAATGACACATCGACTCCGGACATTGGCCCTCACGAGTTCTCTGTACGTGTATTAAACTTGTTTTTGCTCAGAGATATCCGCCTGGAGCAGCAGCACCTCGTCATTGGTTGATAAGACCCATGTCAGTCAGGAGTGTTCATTTTGTTAGTGCATTCCCGAGACGTCCGTGAACCAACGAAGTTCAGTTCCGACCACCCTCCCGGAGCCTCCGTTGCTATGAAATAGAGTCCTCTCTTGGTACAGCTCGAGGCCATGGGCCCTACTAAGTGATATGCAATGCGACTGGTGTCGACTTTCATCCGAGCATCGATTCATTAAGTTTTCCCCGAATTAACTTTGCAAACTTCACAGGCCAACAGCAGCCTGGACCGTGGCTAGTTGTTGCATCCTCCATTCGAATGCTGGACCTCCCCCCCCCTTAGTTTGGGAAAACCGACTGCTTTTTATTTACGTACCGGGAACAAAATGTAGGCCTCCAAGCTGTGTGTGGACTTACCGTTACGACGATGGACGGAAGAGGAGTCAGGAATTCGATGTGGATCATCGACAGTAGCGAAGGGAGGTGCCCCTCTCGGGCACCGACGTAAAAGATCCTTGTCAT